TGCCCTCCACATGTTATGTACGAACAGCTGCCAATCATAAGAAACTTGGGAAAGATCTATAACATTTAATGGGAAGGGAGGGGGTCTCTTCCTTTTTCTTAATGAGACAAAGTGAGAATACATTTAGAGCTATGATGTAAACTAGCAAGTCAATTCACATAAAGGGCAACATGCTGCTGCTGACAGCATTATCCACTTCTTTTACCATAAACATTTTAAGCATGGAATGGACCAGACAGTCCCCAGTTTCTAATTAATCCAGGGCCTTAACCACTAAATATACTACAGGACAGTGCTTGCAAAGTAGAATGAGACCAAATGGACCAAGCCAGTAAGGCAAGCCATGTCCTACTGAAGATGACAAATAATCCTGACAGGGCCTGCTTATGAACTAGAGAAAAATCCTCTCCCAAGTGAGAAGATTTTTATTTATTTATTTAGAAAATTTCTATGCCTCCCCATTCACTGAAGCCTCGGGGCGGCTTACAAATAAATCAATAAAAATACTATAAATTAACAATATAAAACAAGTTAACAGTATAAAATAAGTCGCCCTGGCCCACGAATAAAATAAATAAATACCATTAACAATTAAAATGACATTTGAATAAAAAGGTCTTTGCCTGGCACCGAAAAACAAATAACGACAGCACCAGGCAGGCCTCTCTGGCGAGCGCATTCCATAGAATGGGCGCCACCGCAGAGAAAGCCCTCCTCCGAGTACTTACCCTCCTAATTTCCTTCACGGAGGGTTCCCAGAGAAGGGCCTCTCCCGCTGATCTCAGGGGGTGGGCGGGTGGGCATATATAGACGTAAGCGCTCCTTCAGGTAACCAGGACCCAAGCCGTTTAGGGCTTTATAGGTCATCATCAACACCTTGAATTGGGCCCGGACTTCAATGGGAAGCCAGTGAAGCTGACAGAGGACTGGAGTCATGTGAACATAACGCCCAGTCCCCGTCAGCAGCCTGGCAGCTCTATTTTGAACCAATTGAAGTGTCCGGACTGTCTTTAAGGGCAGCCCCACTTGGAGCGCGTTACAGAAGTCAAGGCGGGAAGTCACCAGTGCATGTGTCACTGTCGCGAGGCAGTCGTACTCCAGGTAGGGGCGCAGCTGATGGATCAGCCGAAGCTGAAAGAAAGCGCTCCTCGCCACCGCTGTCACCTGAGCTTCCAGTGAAAGCTCTGGGTCGAGGAGCATTCCCAAGCTGCGGACCTTGTCCCTAAGAGGGAGTGCAACCCCATTCAGGACTAGGTTCAATTTACCCTCACCGAAGCCCAATCCGCCAGCCAACAGGACCTCTGTCTTGTCTGGATTGAGCTTCAGTTTATTGGCCCTCATCCAGCCCATTACCTCGGCCAGGCACCGGTTCAGTACAGCCACTGCCTCACCTGGATTGGTGGAAAACGAGAGGTAGAACTGGGTATCATCAGCGTACTGATGACTCCGCAGCCCACACCTCCTGATGACCTCTCCCAGCGGTTTCATGTAGATGTTAAACAGCAAAGGGGACAAAATGGACTCCTGCGGTACTCCATGGCATAACTGCCATGGCGCAGAGCCATAGTCCCCCAGCATCACCTTCTGGAATCGGCCGTTGAGATAGGAGCAGAACCACTGCAAAGCAGTGCCTCCGACCCCCAATCCCGCAAGCCTATCCAGAAGGATACCATGGTCGATGGTATCGAAAGCCGCTGAGAGGTCCAGGAGAACCAACAGGGACACACTCCTCCTGTCCTTCTCCTTGTACAGGTCACCGTACAGGGCGACCAAGGCAGATTCAGTACCGTACCCGGGTCTGAAGCCAGACTGAAATGGGTCCAGATAATCAGTTTCATCCAAGAGTGCTTGGAGTTGTCCTGCCACCACCCGCTCCAACACCTTGCCCAGAAACGGGATGTTGGCCACTGGTCTATAATTAGTGGCCATCTCTGGATCCAGTGACGCTTTCTTCAGGACTGTCGGACTACCGCCTCCTTTAAAGGGGCAGGTACCCGACCCTCCCTCAGAGAAGCGTTAACCACTTCCAAGATCCAGATCCCTATCCCGTGCTTGGCGTTATTTCTTAACCAAAACGTGCAAGGGTCCAATAGGCAAGTGGTGGGACGTACTCATCCAAGCACCTTGTCCACATCATCAGGACGCAATAACTGCAATTCATCAATTAATTTTGGACCAGACGGCGGCATTGGTATCTCCCCAGAGTCCTCTGAATCACTAGTAGAGTCTAGCTCATGACAAATCTGAGCGATTTTCTCCCTGAAATGCTTGGCAAAGTTGTCACCGCGGGTCTTCGAGGGTGGAACCAGATCCTTCTTAGGGCCAGGATGAACCAGGCCTTGTACCACTCAAAAAAGCTCCGCCGGATGGCATTTTGAGGAGGCAATGGAAACGGAGAAGAATTTCTTTTTCACCGTCCTCACCGCCACAGCATATGCCCGATAATGGGCTCTTAAGTGTGTTCGGTCAGATTCATCCCGTGATCTCCTCCACCTATGCTCTAGCCGTCTCCCAGCCTGCTTTATCGCCCGCAATTCAGGTGCGTACCAAGGGGAAGAGTGCGCTCTGCCCGGCGGGAGAGGACGCTTAGAAGCGATCGTGTCAACAGCCCTGGTCATCTCCCTGTTCCACAGTTTGACCAGAGCCTCAACAGGAGCACCAGTCTTGTCAGCCGGAAACTCCCCCAGGGCCTTCAGGAATCCATCCGGATCCATCCAGCTCTGGGGGCGGACCCACAGAATCAGGTCCGCACCCTTACAGAGGGAGAGGCTGCTCTCGAGCACAAACCTCACCAGGAAGTGATCTGACCATGACAGGGGTGTCAGACATAAATTCCTCACCCTCAGACCACCCTCTTCCTGCCCCGTCGAGAAAACCAGGTCCAGAGTGTGTCCACGTTCATGGATCGGGCTGGTGACATGTTGAGACAGCCCCATGGCTGTCATGGAGGCTATGAAGTCCTGAGCCGCCCCAGTCAGACCAGTCTCGGCATGGAGATTGAAGTCCCCCAGGACCAACATCCTGGGGGTCCTCAACACCAGGTCTGAGACAATCTCCGTCAACTCAGGCAGGGAGACTGTTGGGCAGAAGGGTGCACGGTACACCAACAGAATCCCCAATCTGTCTCGGTTGCCCAACACCAAGTAGAGGCACTCCAGCCCTGGCCTCGAAGGGACCGAAAGTCCAGTGAGGGAAATGGAGGCTCGGTAAACCAAAGCAACCCCCCTCCCCTCCCCTCCCCTCCCCTCCAGGCGTGAACAGTGCTGAACCAGATACCCAGGTGGGCACATTTGAGAGAGGGCGACATCCTCCCCCTCTCCCGCCCAGGTCTCCGTTATGCAAGCCTGGTCGGCCCCCTCATCCACAATCAAGTCATGGATGAGGGAAGATTTATTGTGGACCGACCTGATATTGAGCAGCAGCACCGTCAGGCCCGAGGGGCGGTTGACAAGACTACCTGGCACCCTCTGGCTGGGGGCAAAACCAGAAGGAGGGATAGGTGTCAACCATCTATCCCTCCTTCTTCTACACAGACACGTTAAGCCCCCACCGCTGTAACGTCCATTGCCCATGACCACCCCAATGGCGGCGCCCCCGCGCTCCCCAGGAAACTCAAGCGTCGACATGGCCAGGGATGACTCCATAAAAGCAGACTGAAATACAGTAAAACTTTAAAACAATCAAAAACTCCCCATTTCCCCCCCAGTACAAAATTAAAAGTCCCCCCACCGACCTAGTCCCCCATCAGTCCAGCCCTGCACAGCCACGAACGGCCACAAACGGCGGCACTGCCCTTTGGCCGTCATCCCTGCTCTCACCGACGCTGGCGGGGGGGAGCAGGGAGGGGCGCAGAAACCCGCCTGGCGGCAAGATGGCAGCGCCCTCCTCCGCACCGTCAACGGCGGGCCTGGCATGGCCCTGACGTCCTCTGTGCCTGGGGTGACCCAGCGGTGGCTGCGGGACCGGTGTCAGCTGGCCCCCGGCTCGGTGGTGCACCTCAGGTCTGGTGGCGGCGGCGGCAGTGGCAGCGAGGCACGGCAGGTGATTCGACTCACGGAGCTGCAGAGCACGGCGGGTGTCCGGGGGTGGGGGGGAGCTCAGTCAGAAGGTGAAGGACTTTTTCTTAATCATCAGAAAGTATTTCACAAAAAAATCTACATTATGGCATATATTCATCTATTTGACATCCCATCTTCAGTCATCATTGTTCAAGGGTATGGAAAAGTCCCCCAAAATCTTGGGACTGTTGACAGTGATTTATTTTGACCCCAGGAGTCTCTAACTAGGGTATCAAGCAAAAAGCAAGCCAAACTCTCAGATATTTTTCATGTATCCCTCCACCTTAAAACTGCAACAGTTTTAGGGAAATTTTTCCAGATGTTTACATTTGCAATCTTTTGAAACTCTCTCTTGATTTTCAAGCTATATTTATCATTGCCCAAATGGAATTCATTTGTCTTTGTATTCAACATTTTATTTCACTGTCATCACTGAAATAACTGTCAATCTACAGTTGGGCACACTGCACTTATCAAAAGTAGTTTTTTTAAATTGACTATCCGAAATATTTTAAGCCTGTATCAGCTTCTGTCAAATCTGGACATACAGACTGACAAACCGTGACAGATGAAAAACATAATTAACTTCTTTAAAAAGATTAAAAGCAACCCTTGGCACTTTATTGTGTCTTCTGAATCTTTGCTGTAACATTTTCAAATGTGAATCTGCAAACTAAGGACTAGCTACTTACATTTCATAACTCCCAGTACCTCAGAGGTCTATGAGCAGTAACACCGTTCCTTTGTGAACTACTTGCCATCAATTTATCTTGCCCTTTTCTGACCTTGATTTATTTTTCTATTATGTTACCCAAGATATGAAATATTACCTTCGAGAGATGCAAAATGGTTATATGGAGTGCAGAACCTGCAGTGTCCTCGTTTTTCAAACAAATTATATGAAAATAATGCAATACTTTCTTCATCTTCCAGAACACTTACAGGAATTGAGATAATCTTATTCGAATTCTCCCATGGAATTTCTTTCAGGGATTTTCTACTTATGGAAGTTGATGTACCAGATGTTTCTTTACAGGACTGAGTTACGCTTCCTGTTGGACATAAACACGAAGTTGATAACAAGTTTCCTTGAATGTTATCTGTCATTTCCATCATCCCAGTCAAATCTTCTGGCCTTGGTGCTAATGATTCCTCACTGGCTTGTTTTGCAAACCCTCTGTTTGCCCAGTTTTCAGGACTCCTGCATGTCATTTTGCGTGGAATCTCTTTGGAAATAACAGGTTCAGATGATCCTGCTATAAAGCAGCTGGTATGAAGATTCTGAGCCTCTTGTGTAAGTTCACTGTAGCTTTCATCCTGGAGCAATGAAAAATATAAACAAAATGTTACCTTAAGTTTCAAGTCACCCACTAGTAACATAGATTCTTTATCTTCTCTGAACCTGCACATAAATCCTTCCTATCTTGCATGGTGATGGGAAACTTTGAAATTATTTTTTTACCCCCCCCCCGCCAAAAAAAAAGATCTTCAGGAAAAGCAAAGACACAAAACTTACATTTTTAAATTGTGAATGCCTAACATGAAATGAATGATCATGAGAATGTCTCTCATACAACAGTGTTTCAGGGTTAATGGAGCTCAAGCCTTATTTATAACAATGAATACATTTCACTGTTAAGACTTGTTTAAATGATCATTTATTATGGGATAAGAACGCATTTTGGTCTCAGGATCGTCTCTTAAGATTTTCTCTTAAGGTGAAACTTGCTGAATTTGAGGAAAACTGTCTTTGCTAATTAAGGGCTAATAAGTCAATAAGAGCAAAATTTTGGGCAATTAAAACACCATAACAATAAGCATTTTCTATTTCCAAAGACTGTGACAATATTTAACAAGCTAAGATATGGAAAGCTTTTTGACTGTGCACAGAGGCTCTTCATCCCACCCTTAAACTGAACCAACAGACAAATAAGTAAGCCTCCAGTTTTGTATAAACCAGCTTAGAATCTTCAGAAGAAATTATTAAAACCACAGTGGCTTAACATCCTGCCTTGTTCCCAAGTTGCTAATCACAATTTCCTGGGTCAGATGGAAAGGGAAAATATAATGAATTGAAGACTTCCTATTTTCTTTGTGTGGAAGCAAAGATGACAAAACTGAAGGTGTAGTACTGCAGGCACATCATTAGAAAGCAAGACTCATGGGAAGGACAATCATGTGAGGGAAAGTCAAAAGCAGGAGAGAAACAGGAAGGCCAAATATGAGATGGCTCAGTTCCATTAAGGAAGCCACAGACTTGAGTTTACAAGAGGTGAGCAGGGCTGTCAAAGATAGGACATTTTGGAAGGCATCCGTTCATAGGGTCACCAGAGGCTGGAGAACACTTTCCTGCACATAACACCTAAAAAAAAAATTCTTTGCTATCTTACACCTGGGCTGCACACACAGATAAAAGGATCTTAAGATAAGAACCATGCTGGATCACACTGATGTCCATTTAGTCAAGTGTTCTGTGCAGCCAATGGCCAACTGCTGCCCACAGGAAGCCAGCAAGCTGCAAAAGCGCCCTCCCACCCATGTTTCCCAGAAATCAGTATACAAAGTTATATTACCTCGGATAGTGGGGTAGCATATAGCCAGAAAGACTAACAGCCACTGATAGATTGTATCCTCCATACATTTGTCCAGTCCCCCATTTAAAACCATCTAAACTGGTAACTATCATCACATCTTGGGGAAGTGAATCTCACAGTTTATATGCCATGTGAAGAAGTATTTCCTTTAATCTGTCCTGAATCTTTCATCAGTTGGCTTCATGGGATGACCCTGGGGCTCAGTATGATGACAGAAGGAGAAAAATGCCTCCCCATCCACAGCATGTATAGTCCTGTAGGCCTCTCCCATGTCTCCCTTTACTCATGCTTTTTTTTCCTAAGCAAAATAATTCCAGCTGTTGCAACGTCTCCTTGTAGGGGAGTTGCTTCAGCCCTTGATAATTTCATTTACTCTTTTTTGTGCTTTTTCCAAATCTGCCACATCTTTTTAGGTGCATTGACCAGAACTGTGCACACTATTCTGTGGTTTTACCAGAGATTTTTATATGGAGAATGACTGAGGCAGTTTTATTCTCACTTTCCTAAATATGCCCTATGTGGAATTTGCTTTTCTTCACAGCTGCTGCATAGTGGACTGGCATGTCCATCAAGCTGTCTACCAGAGCCCAAGATCTCCTATCAGCTTATACTTGAAGGCGTACTCCAGCATGTATCACTTTACATTCGCTTTCAGTGAACTGCACTGGCCATTTTGATGCCCATTCTTCCCATTTGAAGATATGCTTTTGGAGGTCCTCGTTGAATCCATAAAGGCAGTTACATCCTTGAACTTGGAAGAGCTGAATGGAGCTGTTATGGACAGGACACTCTGGAGGGATTTAAGTGGGTTGCAATAAGTTGGAGATAATTTGATGGCACAAAAATATAAGTTGGTGTTGCCAGCAGACATGGGCATTCACTGCTCACTCCTAACCCCAGATCATTTATGAATAAATTGAAAGGCAGTTGTTTTAGTACAAAGCCCAACTGGACCCCATTGTTTACATCCATTCCTTGGGAGAAATTCCCATTTAATTTTTCATTTTAAGTGATCTATTAGAGGATTCCTTTTCTATTCCTTGGCTGCTAAGTTTGCCCAGGAATCTTTGGCGAGGGACATTGCCAAAAGCCCTTGGAAGTCTAAGCAAACACTGTCTATCACATCATCCCTCTCCACATCTGCCTCAATTTCTCAGACTACCAATTTTTCAGGTAAATGTTTTCAAATCCTGATGCTGAAAAATAGAAAATTTAGATGTAAATAGGAAGTAGGGTGTCTTATTTATTTACTACATTTTGAAATTGCTTTTTAAAAACCAGGGTTGCCTGAATATAAGGGGATGAAATAGGCCATGAACATATTGTAAAACACCTTAGCCAGTCAAAGAGGCCTGAGAGCCATATCAAAAGGCAGCATCTGGGGAGGGTTACCATGTATAGGTGTTTTCTGTGCAACTCCTAGAAGCCGCCAGTCCAAGATGGGAGAGTTGGGGAGCCTGGTTTTAAAAGAGAACTTGGATATAATGGGCATCATGGAACTCATGGAGAGAATGGAGAGAACCAGTGGATAAGGATTTAAACTCTTTAACAAGGACAGGGAAGGGTGTATTAAAGAAGGTATTGCTCAGTTTGTCAAAGAGGGCATAGCATCGAGTGCACTAGAAAAACTAGAAAGGACAGGCTCTTCCCTAGAAGAGCTGTGGGTGAGAACACCAGGTTCCAAAACCAAGTTTCAACTAAGACCATGCTATTTTCTCTCTGACCAGAACACTCAAGGTGATTTCAAGTGGAAAATGAAATCAGAGAGACCTCCAAATGAGGAAGTGCTATAATAACATTTGACTTCAGTTATGCTCAGGTTGACTGGATAAATTTATTTATTTATTTATTAAAACATTTCTATGCCGCCCCTTGCCGAAGCCTCGGGGCGGCTCACAACATGCATAACAAAGATGCACTGACCAGAAAGGGGATGACCATGGATTTTATCCTAAATGCTGTCCTATGACCTAGTACAAGATGTCCGTGTTAATGTCCAAACAAGATGTCCATGTTTGGACATGCACATGGTAGGCATGTCATGAGTGGAGCCGGCCTACCACGTGCATGTCAAAGAGAAGAAGAGGGAGAGGCAGATCAGTAGAATAACATGACTTCACACAAATAAAAACTATTTGCTTCTTAGGGTCAGAATCTATGGGTAAACTCAGGGAAGAACTGTCTCTCTGTGTTTAGTGCCACAAGACAGCCTATGTGGCACTAGCACCCACAATTCCTTTTGGAGATAAGCCACAGTCTCACAACCTCTCAAAGGAAAAGGTGTAGACCCAAAGCCCACTGAACCCAGGAGAAAGGCCTCACAGCCTTTCCTCCCCATTTCTCCAGTCCAACTTCTTGAAAAGAAAACCACAGTTGCTGTCAGAGTTTGTGTGTTTGTGTATGTGAGTGTGTGTGTGGGAAACTGCCAGTGAAGTCCAACACAGTCAAAAGAGGAAATGTTTCTAAAATGAGAGACTTGGTAAAAAGCAAATGGATAGAGGGAATCAAGAGTCAAAATCCCTTCAAAATATTTGGGATAACTTAAAGCTGTAGTAATAGAGGCTCAGCTAGAATGCATACCACAGGTCTGGAATGGTAGTACCAAGAGATCACCAGTATGTAACATAAAGGAAGCTATTAGAGAAAAGAAGGTGCCCCTCAAAAAATGGAAGTCTTGCCCAGCTGAAGAAAACAAAAGAAAGCATGAGCTTGAGATGCCAAAGAAGCATATAGCTAACAACATCAACACCAGCAGTGAAGGATTCTTTAAATAGAAGCAAAAAAACCAACTAGGGATACAGCTGAAACATTGGACAATAATAGAGTCAAAGAAGTACTAAAGGAGATGAGGAGTTTGTGAGGAAGCTAAATGAATGCTTTTGCTCTGCCATCATTGCAGAAAATATAGAAAACATTTACTTTTTCTCCTGAATTGGATCCCACTAACCTTCAAGTCTTTACACATGATATAAATTCATTATACAGAGTGGAAATATTCCCTTAGCAGTTATTGCATTAAGACATAGAGCTTAATATAGGGATATACACACAATCTCAAATTTTCATTTCCTATGAAGCTAATACTGTAACATTAGGCTAAAATACCTTTAGACGATTAATAAAAATCAACATTAAAATCAACACTTTGACTAACTGACCTTTACCTGTACCCCCACACTACAACCAACACACTTTTTTATTTTAAGTTTGTTTCTCAGATGCCTATCTTTCCCCCTACCACATTCAGTCATGCCACAGTGCCCAGAACTTCAATAAAATATGTCTGATTAACTGTAGCATGGCATATGTACACTGAAAAGACTGATTTCCCCAAGGAGATGGCTCTTCTATCACCATACTACATTCCGTAAAAGAGCATGCAGATGGATATTTGGACAATAATTTCTGGATACAGAAGACTGATTGCTCTTGCTGAGCTGTAATTTTAAAAAGATCATTCCTGAGAGCCACCCGCTTTGGAGCAGATGGGACCTAGTCCTTTTGTATTCCAATCTTTAATGTTGAGAAGCCAGAAAGTGAACATGCTTTGTGAAGAGAAGAACGTCTTATTCATTTAAATGTGAATGAGAACCAAAGTGGGAATCACTTTATAGGATTAAAGCTGCAATGATGCACATAGTTATGACAGTAAATATCCTATAGATTTTCATAAGATTATTTAGCAATTGCTGCCTCAAGAGTATAATGAGAATATATGGCAGA